GGTCTAGATGCACTAATTCAAATTAGCTTAGTTCGAATTAACTAATTTGAATTAAGTTAGTTCGAATTAGTGCTGTAGTGTAGACATACCCTATCTTCTTTCTGACTAACCCTGTATTTATATATAGCACACTCACCTCCATATTGTTTTAATATAATTAATACATAAGTAATTATTATATTTTTCATTTCAAGAATAATTGGATAATTTAAATCAAGTCTACTTACCCAGCTCTGTTGAGAGTCGTTCTGAAATGTAAGGATACGCCAGTCACTGACCCTACCCTGTGCTTTTCTGATATGGTCTTTAAAATTCTGAGTACTCTGTTTAAACGCTGCTCAGATAATAGAGCTCAGTCATACGATTCCTTGAAAGTGTCCATAGCAATCGCATATTCCAATCTCTGTGCTGAGACTAACACAGACACAAAGCAACTAGCAATATTAGCTCATTTTTTTATATAAATACTGCTCTAATTTCTTTATGATTAATTGGCTGTAGTGCAGTCTCCCACTAACTTGACCATTCAGGGCACTTCTGTACAAGAGTGACTGTCTGTGTTTGTAGTTGTAGACTGATAAATCTTAAGTAAATTATTGTAGGTTTATCATTCAAAATGGCATGGAAATAAATGTTTTGAGTTCAGCTTAAATATATCATGTATCAGTGCTAATGGCTAGTACTGTTCAGTTCAATATCACACAACAATTATTATACAGCAGTGTTTTATAGAATGGGTTAGCCTGTATGTTTGTTGTCTCCCTCCTAACACTGTTGCAAAAACTAAATGAACTAAATTCATCTCTTGTACAGTTCTAATGACTGTCACAGATATAAAACAAATTTCTTAAAAATAAATGAATCAATAAAACTCACAAGAACTAATGTTGATAATCTCATCTCAATGGTCATGAAGATACTAAAATTATATACCTGAACCTGCATAAGTACAGAGCCATTACCCTTAGCTCAGAGTGAAGGAAGAGAGGAACAGAACATTTTCAGGATTTTGCAAGTGTGTCATCAGTGCCTTCTGCTGGATGGGGTCAGAGTTGTTGAAATGTATTTCATTACCCTTATAATTCCCTACTGAAGACATTTGCTTAGGTGAAGCAGTAGGAAGGGGCCAGTGATATAGAAATAAAAGAGTTCTGGTTCCATCTCTGCTGTTGACATGAAAGTCCAAGTGTGTAGAATTGTAACAGCTGACATCCTAGATAGAAAGAGCCTTCCAACAGGGGCTGTTTGTTCTGTGTATGTACAGAACCTTGCCCAGTGGTCCTGCTCCATGACTGGGGTTCCTAGATATCAGCATAAAAAACCTAATAAATGATGAACAGCACCTATCACTGTGGGATCATGAGCTATTCCTGAGGATCATAAGTGCTACTGTAAATCATCAGTAATATTAATCACCATCAAGTGCCATGACTGGGATCCTAGATGCTGCTGTAATTAGTACATATTGTACAGCTGCAAGCACCGTGTGATAATTCTCCTGGGAATTACAGTAATACAAATAAGCAAGAACTATAATAATTAATTTGTGTCTACAGTTTTGTTGCAATATATTAAGCAAGACAGACTCATGATCAAACAAGAATATTTCATAACCCCATAAGAGTGGGCATAACTGGGATAATGTATAGTTTCACAATACAAAAAGCAGGGGTCACACTGAAATTAAAATAAAGATATTATACAAACAGGGGAACACATTGTTTTCACCCAATGCCATTCAAACAGGCATGTTCTGATGATTAAATATATAAATGGGTGTCCAAAAAAACTAGATATTGGAAGATAGGTCTATCAATGGCTGTTAGCCAAGATGGTTAGGGTGATTCTAAATCTCTCACTGCCAGAAGCCAGAGTTGGCTGCCCATGTATAGTCCCCCTGATTCTTTGGTACCGGCCACTGTTCGGGTATGTCTAGACTACATGGCTCTGTCGCCAGAGCCCTGTAAATTAGTTTACTAGACATACTCAAATGAAGCGGCGATTTAAATAATTGCCGCTTCATTTAAATTTAAATGGCTGTCATGCTGAGTCGATCAGCTGTTTGCCGGCTCAGCGTGCTAGTCTGGACGCTCCGTAGTCAACATCAAAGGCATTTGTCCCTTTTAAGCCTTGTGGGATGAAGTTTACCGGAGCAGTCGACAAATGCCTTTGATGTTGACTACGGAGCGTCCAGACTAGCACGCTGAGCCGGCAAACAGCTGATCGACTCAGCATGACAGCCATTTAAATTTAAATGAAGCGGCGATTATTTAAATCACCGCTTCATTTGGGTACATCTAGTAAACCAATCTACATGGCTCTGGCAACAGAGCCATGTAGTCTAGACATACCCTTGAAGATAAGATTATGGACTAAATAGGCCTTTGCTATGACTCAGTTTGGCCGAATTTACGTTCTTGTTGTAAAACAGAGTCTGACAGGCTGGTGTTGGACCACATTCACTGGGTTCACCTTTAAGGTGCCAGGAACAGACTCACCAGAACACTCACCTCTTGTAATTTATGACAAGTAAGAATATAGATTTTCTTACCAGAATTTTCTTGTATGTCTTGAATTGCTGCAATATAGTAATTAAAATTAGTGCAATGAATGAGAGAGAGAGAATATGAACTGAGAGCGAAAGCAAATATTTAGAAATCCATGGAGAACATGTGGAGAATTCTGTTAGAACCCATGCATGGCAGGAAACCTGATACATTTTCACTCAGTATTTAATAGGCATCCATTATTGTGATTCAGTCTATGACTCAGTATTTCAAACAATACAGTGAAAAACACTTGAAGAGGCTTTGAGCTATCTCTGTCATTATGTTTATTATTTATACAGTGCCAACAGCATTATACTTGCTTTAAGACATTTAACTCAATGAGTCTCCTGCAATTAGGAGCATGCAATATATATTCACAGAGGTGAAGTGTGCTATGCAAAAGTTTGATTGACGGAGATGTTTGGCAGCTTCCATTTTGTTTATTCCATAATTATTTTTAAATGTTTGTATGTTACTTTAAACATTTATTTTTTCTCATTAAATGATAAAGGTCAATATTTTTGTTTATTTCAGGACAGTGAAAAAAATTTAACATAAAAGGAAAATTGAAAAAAAATCGTGAAAATTGTATGCATTTTTTTCAAACAGATCTTCTTTGGGGGGGGAGACTAATTTTCAGAGGGATTAAAAGTGAAATCTGTTTTAATAAAAGGCTTTCAGGTAGATAAAGTGGAGGAAAATTCTATAACTAGACTGAGGTTTGATGAACAGATGACACGTGGGAAGAAATCATAGATAAAATGGTCAGGAAATTTGCAGTGGCAAGTAGAACAAACAAGGTGGAAGAGAAGAGAAGAGAAGAGAAGAGAAGAGAAGAGAAGAGAAGAGAAGAGAAGAGAAGAGAAGAGAAGAGAAGAGAAGAGAAGAGAAGAGAAGAGAAGAGAAGAGAAATTGTCCCGGAAAGGTCAGACAGGTGATGAAAGTTAGGACAACAGTCTGAATATTGCAGATTGCAGGAGAAAGCCAGTGAAAGGATTTGGAGAGAACGGTGGACTTTGATCAGGGGAGAAATTAGGAGATTTGGGATGATGGAATGTGGGAGGGGATTTTGTAATGGTCAAGCAAGTTGCAAAGGTGGTTGTTACGGTGGCCAAGCTGAAATCTAGAGAAGGCTTTTGGTGATGGAAATGGCACAGAATGTCATTATGAAAGAATGCAAAATAATGACATCCTGCCAGCTCCATCAACCTGTGGGAAGGAGAGGAGAGGGAATAAAGGCAAATCTGTAGGTCAAGGGCAATAGAGAAAGTGGGTAGAATTGCTACTGGAAGGGCAGCTAGAAAGTGGTATCTAAAAGGCAGTCAGAGATGTATGACAGAGATGAGGTGAGAGATGAGATGTGAAGATGACCTGTGTGACTTTGATTTAGAAGAGCTCCATGTGCAAGTGATGTGCTACAGTGAAAGAGAGAAGAGAAAATCAGAGACCTAGATACGCCAGTGGAAATGGTTATTCAGTCCCTAGTATGGACTGATGATTTGGGGGTCTGTGGGTAGGCAGGTGTATGTGGTCAGCTTTTCTGTTGACCAGTCACATTTATTAATCTCTAATCAGTGACTGATATTTAAATAGATATCATAGTCATTCACAGAAAAAATATGCTGCTCTTCATGTTTATAAAGCTACTTACGGCAAGGCACTGTCTTCTACTCTGAGCATTTTAATAACATCAAACTTACCTATTGCATCTGTCCTTTTGTTTGTCTCTGAAAGAGTAAATGAACACAAAACAAGAAACATGCATGTTACTGAAGTAATGATTTGTTTTAATTTAGAGATTCGTACATTCATTAACTCCAACGGCAGAAGCGGTCATTGTGATTACGCAGTTTGACCACCGTTATAACATAGGCCACCAGAAAAATTCTTGAGAATGATTCCTGGAGTCCTGAGTGAAAAGCTATGAGATGGGCTGTTAGACTTTTTTCATATTATTCCATTGTGAGACCAACTTCAATGTTTTGCAAAATGGATTTAAAAACAGATTTTACAATAATTAATAACCCATGATTTTTAACATAATAAATCTAAATGTCTTCATGGACATAAAAGAGCATTTAACATGAAAATGTATTTAATCTTGAAAATGTAAGCTTATATAAGAACTTGGGCCTGTCTCCCAGAAAAAAGCTACTTGGGGATGTTGGCCTTTCTTCATACATAAGGGAAATGACAAACTATAAGGCTATGTCTATACTGCAGCCTTCTTCTGCAAAAGCCTATGCAAATGAAGCGTGGAGTAGAATATTGCCACATTTCATGTGCATTTTAAAAAATGAAGAAGAACGGCTCTTGCACAAGAGAGGGGTTTTGCACAAAAAGGAGCCCTCTATGCAGCTCCTTGTTGCGCAAAAGCCTCTTGCAGAAAAACGGTTGCTAATTAATTATGCAAATGAAATGCAGTAATATTCTACTTTGCACTTTATTTGCGTAAGCTTTTGCAGAAGAAGGCTGCAGTATAGACATAGCCTAAGAGTGCCTGTATTCTCACCTAGTGCACTCAGCAGACGTTCTTTTTCTGAAAGAAATAATATTTAATATTGTTAGAAGATCAAAGTCAAATATTACTTTGTATATTTTATGGCATTTATGAAACATACATTACAGTTTACATCTATATCTATCATTTGTTTTAAAATACAATCATTTATATTTTAGGTCAAATTCTTTTCTTGGTTACACTGCATGCAAATCCAGTGTAAACCCTCTGATTTACTCACATCACATATCACAATGTTTTCAGTTTGATAGACTTTTTGCATAGTTCACTACATTTTTAGACTCAAATGAAAAATGGGCCTGTTTTGTAGGCCTTGTCCATTCCCATGGAAAATGTTGACTTTTTGTCAAAAAGTCAAAATGTTAAAACATTCAGGCAAACGCTTTAATTTTGTTTAGAAGTGCTCAGTTTTTATATGACTACTGTAGGTTTTCCACTGAATATGAACAATTTTGAAAGAAAAGTGGAAAACCTCCAAATTTGTGACCTATTCTGTTCTTATTGGAAAATGTACTATTTCTGAACTTTGACATATCACTCACATACACTTAGAATACATCTATACTGAACAGCTATTTTGGAATACTGGAATAGCTACCCTGCATCTACACAAATCGCCCATTATTTTGAAATATTTTTCAAAATAACAGGTGTGCTATTTTGGCATCCCAGTAAATCTCATTGCATAAGGGTTAAAGGATGGCTCTAAATGACATGTTATTTTGAAATGCTGTGCTGTGTCGATGTGCCAAATTTCAAAATAAGCTATTTCACAATAGACATGAAATAAGATATGAAATTTGCATATTGTAAACTGAGTATCTTATTTTAAGTTTAGGGAGCTGTGTCGTTGCATCTTCAGACAACAGAATATATTTCACTGAGGGTGTGTATAGACTATAGGGCTTTTTCGAAAAAAGTGGCCTTTTTGAGAAAAAACTTCCCGTATAGACAGCTGCCACGTTGTTTCAAAAGTAAATCGAAAGAATGCAGCAGTTTTTTCAACTGCAGAAAACCTCGTTTTATGAGGAATAACACCTTTTTTCAAAAGTGCTTTTTCAATAAAAGCACTATGTAATGCAAACTATGCTTTTTCGACAGAGAGCATCCAGACTGCCTGGGTGGTCTTTTTCAAAAACGCAGCTTGCTTTTTCAAAAGTACTAGTTGTAATCTAGATGCTATTTTTTCAAAAGAGGCTTGTTGTCTGGACACATCCTGACAGAGGAGTACTGCCTCGGACCAAAGGTTTATCTCAGTCATCATATATTGATATGATATATTTTCAGTCAATCTGGACATTCTCCAAAATAGTAAGAGTCTATGATGATGGCCCTATCTGCCTCTCTGTGTATCAATCAAATTATTATAACCAACCAGTGCCAAAGAGATCTCCAGCATTCATGAATCTCAATCTATTACAAGTCAAACCTCTCTAATCCTGAGCTCTCAGGCCTGACTGGTGCCGAACCAGAGAATTTGCTGAACCATGGGAAGTCACTGTTATCTAGCAGCATTACCAAAATTCCACTGGTCTCTTAGAGGACTTTTAGGGGCACATTAGAGATAAACAACAATGCAGAACACTTGAGAACCAGGACTGATGGTTGTAAACAAACTTTACGGGACCACAGGAAACTTGGCCACATCCATGATGAATGGATATCTGGCTAACTAGAATCATGTCAGGCCATGGATGATACTGGACCAGAAATTGCCAGACTAGAGAGATTCAATCTGTAGTAATTTTTTGAAGTAAATCACAGCATTGTTACACTTAGATGGTGCTTACATATGATGCTTTTACTCTTTTCTAATCTTTCATATGCAGACATGACATAAATTATAGTTGGTTTAAATTATAGTCTCTTGCTTTGTTTACTTCCAATTTTTCGTAGAATATTAAAATTCACTGTTTACATTTTTTGGATAGTTCATATCCATGTTTGGCTGATTTTACTTTGGTTGTCTGTGGTGACCTACAGAACCTGATGTTACTTTCATCTGATAAGAGATTAACACCTTATGGCTACATCTAGACTATATCCCTTTTTCGTAAAAGGGATGTAAATTAGACATATCGCAATTGCTAATGAAGTGGGGATTTAAATCTCCCGTGCTTCATTAGCATAAAAATGGCTGCCGCCTTTTTTTGGCATGGAGCTTTGTGGGAGAAAAGCGGCAGTCTAGATGCTGATCTTTCGAAAAATAAAGCCTTTTCCGAAAGATCTCTTATCCCTCGTTTCAATGAAAAAGGGATGTAGTCTAGACGTAGCCAGTGAGTTTAGAATTCACTGAGACTACTTGGCTGTGTCTACATTGGCACCCTTTTCCGGAAAAGGGATACTAATGAGACAAGTCAGAATTGCAAATCCGCGGGGGATTTAAATATCCCCCGCGGCATTTGCATGAACATGGCTGCTGCTTTTTTCCGGCTCGGGGTTTTGCCGGAGAAAAGCGCCAGTCTAGACGCGATTTTCTGGAAAATAAGCCCTTTTCCGGAAGATCCCTTATTCCTACTTGAAAG